GGGACACATCTCCAAACCTGTGTCCTGTCAGTTGGGCCAGGGGAGCTTCGGGGATGGATGGGGCAGCTGACATCCCTGATGAAACTAAATGGGACTAAACCCTAGATTCACTGCCATCGAGTTCAGTCCGACTAATAGGACGAAGTAGAACTGTCCCTGTGGGTTTCCACAGCTGTCAGTCTTTCTAGGACCAACAGCCTCGGCCTTCTCCCATGCAGCAGCTGGCAGATTTGAACCGCTGATTTTGAGGTTGGCAGCCCGACTCTTAATCCGTGACACCACCAGGCTCCTTGGTGAAAGCCCAGGGATCATGAATTGGCTGCTCCTGCCCCAGGACTGAGTTTGACTGGAAGGGGCTTATCAGCTGGGGCCGGTCTTCCTGGGTGTCTGGTGGGGGCTCTGCCCAGGGAAGGAGGGAAAGAAGTCAGAGACCCCCTCCCCGCCTGAGCTCTGCACCCTCATCCTGTGGAACCCCAGGGAGATTCTATCTGGAGTGGCGCGAATGCTCGTGGGCCAGGAAATGTTCCCCCTTGCTGTTTCCAGGGCTGCACCCCACTTACTCAAGCACACCGGAGATGGGCACCCGAGGCAGACCTTCCAGGAGCCTCTTGAACCCCTCGTCACCCAGCAGATTTCCTGAGAGGCTGTCGGAGGTAAGAGAAAGGTCGAGGGGCGGTCAGACACGGCTCCTTATTCTCTGTCTCCTCCTCCTCACTGGTACCAGCACCACTGCGTCCACCATCGCCGCCACTCCATGCTCACAACATGACCGTTACCACGGTCACCATGGCCACCAGCATCACAGGAAGCTCAGACCATCAGCACCACCAGTCTCATCTCCATCACCACATCGCCATCACCATGCCTGATTCCCATCGGGAACATCACTATCCTGAGCACCACCAGCCGACGTCACCATACCCATCGCCTCCACAGTGATTACCCCTGTCGCCCCTAGAATCACACCACCTTCAGTCGGTCTCCCCAGGGCCCCAGGGAAGCTCTCATCTTCCCCTTCACCCTCGGCCAGGCAACCACCCCAGGG